GCATTCGTAACTGTTCTTACAAGTGCCATGGGTAAATTACTATATTACTCGATCTATGGAAGTTGCAATTCACCTTGATACATGACATCTGATCTAGATCTAAATCCTTCTGCTGCTCTTCCCAGAGCTCCTAAAGAGTCATTTCTGGTATCCATCCACCAGTGGAATCGTCATAATGTATGGTTTGACATCTCTACTTCTGCAGTGGCTTTCACTTTCACACATTGTTCAAAACCAGGACATTAAATGAACAGAGAAGTTTACACTGTCTAGTGAGATAATCATTAATTCCATGTTGCTAGACTGGTGGATGTTATACCACAAAGCCTAAACTTGCAATGTTGTGATCCAATATGTAATCATCTATCCTAGATTTTGTAAAGCTCATAAACCATTTCAATCACTCGCGGTCCACTTGAGAAATAAGCTTTCTACTAGACAGGTATTGTTGGTAATGTTTGAAAAAGACTAGAAGCAATTTTTTGTCTTTGTCATACAGCATCAGTATTCAGGAGCCATCTGTGTAAACTAGAATATATGATCACAACTTCTACTCTACCTTGCACCAGCAACAATATTGCTTCAGTTTACTGTTGTTGCCATCAATATCTGGCAGGTATACTAACATCAAAATATCTAATAAAGCACATTTTAGTGATTGAAATGCACCGTACTCAGACCACCTAAAAGGGATATCAGCTTTAGTCAGAGTGGAGAATGGTACAGAAATATGAGGAAAATTGTTCACAAATAATTGATAGTACTATTAAAAGTCTAGGAAAGTGAGAACCTCTTGTTTTGTCATGGGTTGGGTCCAATCTTTGACCACAGTTATCTTTGTGGGGTTCTGTTAACACTGCATTATTTTCCATAATGTGACTGGGGAATTCCACCTGCTTATGCACTTCTCTGGTTTTAAATTCAGGCTTGCCTCTGTTATTCTCTGAAGAATCATGCCCATGTTTTCAGCAGCAAACTGAGACGTTCAGCCGAACACTAAAACATCTTTGAAATAGGCCATAGGTCTTAGCAGAGTGTTAAATTTCTGTGACAAAAGTACAAACTTCTTTACCATCTTCTCTTCTTTTTTTACTATCTCAAAACTAATGTCACAGATACTGCTTGCATTAGGGTGTAAATGTCTCTAACATCCAAGTGATGCTACATCATTTCATTTTGCCATCTATCCACATGGTTATTAACGAGTATATCCTCACTGTCTGCTGATACCATATTGGAATATGTATTACTATGTAGGCAATGCAGATCATCTATATAACCCGCAAAGTTCTCTGATGGACCTCTCATATAAGCCTTGGACTCAACCCATTAGATATTTCGGTTCATCACTAGGTTTAAACTTCAAAACAAGTCAACAGTAACTCTATTTCAATCTCTGAGCTGTTTTTCACCCAAATGCTTGATTGTGTCACGTGCTGGTCAGCCAAGGCTCAACATCAGGCTTTGCATCATCCGTCCTTGAAGCTATCCATTTCAAACAGTGACATGCTTGAAACATTTAAGGTAGTAGTGCAGGTCTTCCATGGTGGTACCCTTAAATACTGAAGGCGATAGCTTTAATTTGCTCAAAGAGACCTGTTGTTGCAAAAGAAAAGACGTTTCTAGTGGTACCTCGGCCCACACCAGGATAAGATGCCCACAGCATCAGGGACACAGGATAGGTATAGTACTCATAGACTCCTATATTAGATGAACATTTGATCTATACTCATGGGTGGTAGATTGATAATTTGCCACAAGAAATTTATCTTCTAGCTCAGAATGACTCCAGAGTTCTCCATGATTCACCACGGCCTTAGCAGCAAGCCTTGTCTCTTAATGAAGCTCTTGTCTTCACCATGGGTCACCTTTTTCACCATTTTATACTTGCTGTCTCCTCTAGTAATGAGATAGATCCAAATGGCAGATTTTATCTACCAGAAGAACCCTCAGTCTTCTGTGCTGTATATTAGCAAGAGGTAGGGCCTGTTCAGTGACTCTGGAGGTCCCATGTTATGGCTTCCCTTCATAGGATTGGAACCAGGTCAAGACATTGCTCTTTGTAACATCTGTGAAAAGCCTGCGTTCAATAAAGGACTTTTCCTAAACCTTACTAGTCTCTTGGATCATGGATTGCCATTGGTGTCAAGCTCTTTTCCTCATGCATAAGGTAGTTCTTCATCTGGAAAATATTTTCAATTTTTTATCAAAATACAAATCTTATGTTACCCAAGAGTATAATGAAGTACAGAAAAGTAGACTAATAAAAAATCAGTAAATTCCACAAAAACAGCTCCTCTGGTCATGGCACCATCCACTTAGTTTGTTGTATTCTTATGTTCACTGACTAGATAAGTTTCTCCACAAATAATTAAAAGTTCAAACAGAAAGAGATTTGCAAAGTTAAATCTGATAATTTGATTTGACTGAGCTACAGAAAAAAAAAGACTAAACATAGAAAAATCAGTCTTTATTTACACCAACAAGTACAAATATATAAACATTACGAGTACACAGGATGTCGGACAGTGCTTCTGGAGAATACTGAAGATATTATTGACGAAAACTCTTCAAGAAAATTATGTTCTAGACTAAGAGAGTGTGACAGTATATAATACTGACAGAGATAATCATGTCATCTTTCTCTGAGTATGGGCTCTACCTCATGTCATCTTTCTCTGAGTATGGGCTCTACATCATGTCATCTTTCTCTGAATATGGGCTCTACCCATGTCATCTTTCTCTGAGTATGGGCTCTACATCATGTCATCTTTCTCTGAGTATGGGCTCTACATCATGTCATCTTTCTCTGAGTATGGGCTCTACATCATGTCATCTCTCTCTATGAGTATGGGCTCTACCTCATGTCATCTTTCTCTGAGTATGGGCTCTACCTCATGTCATCTTTCTCTGAGTATGGGCTCTACCTCATGTCATCTTTCTCTGAGTATGGGCTCTACCCGTGTCATCTTTCGCTGAGTATGGGCTCTACCTCATGTCATCTTTCTCTGAGTATGGGCTCTACCTCATGTCATCTTTCTCTGAGTATGGGCTCTACCCGTGTCATTGGCTATTCCACAAGAAAATGAAAACTATTTAACTTTTACAAATTTCTGAACTTAAACACAGTAATGCTACTAGAGAATTGGAAATAGATCTCCACCACAATTTTCGATGAGAAATGTCTAAATTAACCTAAGTGGAACACTCGCCTTGAACATATGTAACTAGCACACGAAATAAAGTCAGTACTGCACAAGGTGGATTTTCTATATGGGAAAGTCTACAAGCATTCTAAAAATGTGTATATCTGAACGTTTTGGTAAGCTAAAAAAAAAGAAGAGAAAATATCGTACATCCAGATATGACTTATAATCAAATCCCATTTGACTTCTTCTTGCGTGTGTTTCGATGGTTCATGGCCTTCATTGTTTGAAAAAAAAAACATTTATGCCTTTTGTTTAATTAACCAAATTTAGTTTTTATGTATAATTACTTACATAATAAGCCATCAACAACAACCCTGTAAACCCCTCAAAATTTATATTTGAAATTTTGAATATTGGAATTGAATGGAAAGTATTCTGAAACACGGAAAAGGCTATAAAGGCAACAAATCACTGCACAATACATGCATAACCAGGACATTTAACAATAAATATAGGTTTTTTCTGGAAGAATGTTAAGACATTCTACTACAAGGAGCTCTGGAGTAGGTTATACATTAACATTATTTACTATTTTATGTCTAGGCCAGGACTTATTAGTGGATATGTCTCTAGAAAGGAATATCCATGAAAAGACTGCATGATTGTTCTAGGAATGCATTATTCTGAGGGCAGAAGGGTCAGCGGGTAGATATAATCAAGGATGATTGTGAATGACCATCGTTATAAAGTTTTGATATGCAGGTATATCATATGTTTTCTACATGCTTTAGTCGTATAGAAATCTTTAGCATTTTTCTGCTATTTAGTTTCAAAGCTATCACTTTGCCCACACGTAGCCCAGAGAGTCATTGAGATTTTCCTTGTTTCTTTGTTCTATATTGTACTTTCTCGGTTCACTTCTACTTGGTTTTCATCATGACTAGTTTGACAGAGATTTATCTTGAAGGACAGAAAGCTAATCATCTATTTACTGATTCAGTAGAAATGATTGTCCACTTGTTTATGTACATTTTTTGTTGTTGTTGCGTCTAAATAAAGATTGGTTTCACTATCCTTCAAATGTGTCCAATCTGTTTATTTCTCACGCAACTTAAATATCAGTCAATTCATCAACTACAGAACACTATCCATATTTCTTGATCGAATCTGTTGTTATTTGCTGATTTGTTTATCTTGTACTTGTTGGAAAATCGTTTTACGTGAAAATACCACAAGGTCATGGTTAGGTGTGGGTAGAAATAGGGTTAGCAGTGGTGTGGAGCGCACAAGGTTTGAGGTGGAGATGCTTTTATGTTTCTCCTTACTGAAAACCCGTAGTATAAGATCAGTAAAATAAGCTTTGTACAAATCATCATCAGTCTTCTTGTGATGTAACATCACACAAACTAGTCTTTCCAGTTGGATGGGTGGAGAGCACGACTTTCCAGTTGGATGATAAGCTTTGTACAAATCATCATCAGTCTTCTTGTGATGTAACATCACACAAACTAGTCTTTCCAGTTGGATGGGGGGGGGGGGGGAGCATTATTTTCTGACTTGGGTGGATTCTGAGTGCTTAATGAGTTGATTAAGTGTTAAGTATGAGTTTCTCATTTGATTAAGTGTTGAGTATGATTTATCAGTTGATTGAGTGTTGAGTATGATTTATCAGTTGATTGAGTGTTGAGTATGATTTATCAGTTGAATTGGTGGTAAATACGGCTTTTCAATAAATTTAATTTAACCCTAGCTTTAACTCACTGCCTCAAATTATCGCCTAATAAATATATCGTTAAAAGTTGTGTTGTGGAGAAGTTTTAATTTTCATTATTCTTCAATGCTCCGTTTTAGAGAAACATAAACGTACATCACGTGGGTAGTTAGGCAGATAGAGACTGCATACAAGCAAATGGGAAGAGAAGATAGGAAGACAGGTCCTAACTTGAACATGAGTCAAGGCTATACGCACAAACTTCCCTACTATCAGAGCAGTCAGCAACAGGTAGGTCAAAGTAAATTTTATACCTTTTTTTGTTGATGTTAATTTTCATGCAACTATCTTAAGAACACCAGTGGCGCCTTATGACAGTAAGAAAAATTGTTATTGTCGTCGTCATATTTTTCTACCGTCATGGAGACCGAGTTTTATTTTCTGTAGCAGCGTAGGCCTAACTCGTCAGTTCTCTTATTAGTCTCAACTTTAAAAATAAGTAAGAAACACGAGAAACAAATTAACATATACCATATTTTAAGGCCTGACTTTTTATTTTTTTGTAGTGTGTAATAACTATCGTATTACTTATTTCAATATTCAATAAACTAAAAAACTTAAATGGAACAGAAAGTTTGAATTATTTTTCTCAATTTCAGTAATAATCTATAAAGCCATATCACCTGAGCGAATTTTTCCTAAATCCCACCTCCTCCCTTAAACCTTATCCTTAAGCTTAGGAAGAATGTTTTGAAGAAAAAAAAGAAGAAGAAAGACAGAGAGAAAGGACGAGTTTTCTGAAAACGCTAAAGTTATCGGGCTTCTTTAATTGTGGTTCACGTTTTTTTATTGCCTTTGTTCTTTAAACATCTATATAAATATATCATTACTGTCCGTTCATGTAACTACTTCGCAGGGTGTGGATGGATCTTCACCAAATTTGGTGTGGAAGTTTATTGGTTACATGGAGAGATACATACATGTCCTAAGATAATCTTTAATTAATCATGAATTTACATAACTTTCGTCCAGGTGACGGTTACTCCAGCTAGTTATTAATATTATTAAAATCAGTAAAATAAACGCGTGTTATTTCGCCCATACTTTGTCACTTCCATTTGTAGGTTAAATAAATGATTCCTTTCCTTTTTAAATTCAATAACATCTTTTTCTTGATGAACGGACGTTGTTGTATGGTATTATTTTACACGCTTGCTAAACTGAAACACTCGCATGAACTGGTAGCGTCCTCGTGCGGAATTTTTAATAAATGACTAACAAATACTGTAATTCAAGCATACTTTTCTCAACCATTCATGGGTACTATAAATAAATGAAGATTGTCTTGAAACTTCTTCTTGTCAGTGTAACTTGAGAGTTTTTTTTTTCTGGTGTTACACTGATTTATAATTCCGCTTATAAATAACAAGCTGTATGACTGTCATATACCTGATTAATTTGTTTTCTCAAAATTATATCTAAATAAATGTTTTATGAACATGTTTTCTAATAATTAATTATAATCTAGTAGCAATATATGTATGGAGAATAACTATGTATATTTGGTCATGAAGTATTGCTTGATTAGCATTTTGATTTCTGTATATTTTTAACTTGTGTTCAAATGTTCTTGATAAATCCTTATAGATTGAAACATGCGAAAAAACTGATTCTCAAAGACATATTCCTACTTGGTCAACTGTATGATCCTGCAAATTATTGTGATGGTAAAGGCAGTGAATTTTATTATGAATTTTAGGGTCTTCTCTTTGGACTGTTTTCCTGGTTTTGGCTTTGTTAGCCTGCTGAACTGAAGAAGCACGCTTGATTTGGGCATTTTCAAAATCGAAATGTGCTGCGGGTAAAACATTCGGGTTATTATAAAGTTGTAGCCGAGGGTCCGACTGGAAAACATTTGGTGATGTTGCGTCATTGTGTCTCCTTGACAACCAAACAAGTGTAATGGAGAATTTCAGCCAATGGTTATGATTTTTGTGCGTCAGCAATACCAAGCGTGGGGTGCGCGTATACTTGATTTCATTTTATTACACATTACGATCTCTACCAACCTACCCTCATATCTAATTATATGCCCAAAGTAGCTATTATGTAGGGATGACGCAAATGCCATCCCTACTATCCTTTTTGTATTGTTTTTGAATGATTTATATCAGCCATCCCAACAGTTACTTCCTTTTTTGAAGTTTTTTCTTTACTTGTTTTTTTTAATGCAGTGTTTCAACAGACATGGTAAGGTTGTACTTATAACCAAGTTCTAAATACAGTAGGTTCCAACTGTAATATTTATTGTTTATCCATTATTGGTTGGTGGTAATTCCTGTTTCATCCTGTACGTAAGCTTTTTGAAGGAACATCAATATCTGTAAGAAGGCTAACATCAAGGGGTAATGATAATATAGTTTACACCAGAATTATTATTGTTATTTAATTACTATTAGTTATGAATAATACTTATAAAACCGGATACTCTGTTTGAAACTATGTCACCTCAGTAAAATTGGTTGACACCATTGTTTTGATTTTCGAGTTATCATGTAATAAAAAAGAAGCAGAAGAAAGAAGAACAAGAAATTCAAACATTTTGCTATGATATTTACAGACAGTGACGCGTTGTGAATTCTGAGAACAGTCCAATATTGTGCGAATCTTCTGTAATATAAAGCTAATTATCTCTGTTCGTGACGAAAATTTTCCAACTTTATACACTATGATCATTACGAAATTTTAAGAGGTTCTTGATCATACACCAGAGGGAAGGATTTTGAACCCTTGAAATTATTCATTTTATCACGTTATCATCATCATCGAAATTTATGTCTTGTGTTGACCTGGCAGGGTCAAATGCATGTTTGACATTTCCCACCCCCCCTTGACTGTTATTTCAATTGAGGCTTGTAGTCCTTTTTTTTTTCTTTTCTATTTATCCTATCCTTTTCAGGGTCATGTCTGTGAATGTTATCCTATGGTGGTGTAGGTGAAGCTCTGAAATGGGGTAACTTTTATTTTATTTGGTTTTAGATGTTTTGTTAATTGATTGTGTGGTATTTGGGCTCAGGAATAACAGGTATAGGTTGTTGTTTAGCTATTTCTATTAAAAGTGTGAAACCATCTGTACTGTTTTGACGTTTCTGTACTGTTGTATGAAGTCTAAGAATGTATTTTTAATTACTTGAAAGATGGGATTTATTTCGGTTTCAAATATGTTTGTTGGTTGACTTTCTGTGATTTGATTTTTGTTTTGTTGTACATCTGAGCTGTTTGGTTGTTTCGGGACTTGTTTTATTGGCATTAGCGTTTCTCGATTTAGTAGTTGTGACCGTGTTGCCTCTCCATAAATGTACGGGTGTGGTGTGTGTGTGTGTGTGTATCTGGTGTAGGCAATAGTGGTGTTTTTTTATTTCTGGGTGGTGTGTGTTTGTTTCAGTGAGCTTTGAGTTATGGATCATATTGTAGATTCTAGTTTTGATGTCCTTATATTTTGGACACCCTTTATAATTAGCTCTGTGTGTTGCTGTTGGCAGTTACAGAATAGGTGGTTATTGTGTTGTTTTGGGCACTCTGATTTATGGTGGTCACCACCACAACACGCTGCAGCAACGTGTCTGTATCTTTAACAGTTGTAACACTGGGTTAGAACCACGGCGGGTGTTTTTGCTTCTTGCACCTGAAATCTCTTAGTGCTGGAGAATGACGCGTTCCGTTCTGCTATACACAAGTTTATTCGTTTGTTTTAGAGCAGAGCCACTTAGTGCTGGAGAATGACGCGTTCCGTTCTGCTATACACAAGTTTATTCCTGAAATTTAGAGCAGAGCCACTTAGTGCTGGAG